CGGGGGGGGGGGGGGGCATATATTCAAAAAGAGAAAAACTCCTATAAAGTGAAGGATCCCAAGGAGTCGTGAGTTTCATCAGTGAATATATGCAGTTTAAATATTAATAAAACGTAAAAGTTAGTCCCTACATGTTCATAGTCTGTAATAAATTTAGGCATTTGCTTTTAATGATTGTAATTCCTAGATCAACTTTTCTTGGGAGTTGAAGAAATCTAGCATTCACTTTAGTGACTCTTATACTCCTTTAGTTGCTAATGAAAAAATCAACCCGTATATTCAAGGCAATCCATTAACAAAGTACTCTTCTTCGGTCTGCAACACTCAAATCTGGTTCGGCCTATGTACTTTTTGGTAATTCATTTAACCTAATTCTCTTTTTTAATAGAAGTAGAATAGACTCACTACTTCTTGAGTATAAAGTTTATTGTGTTAAAATAGACTTTGCTCGAACACCTAGGCATGCTTTGGAACTGATTAACTCTTTCTGAAAACTTTTTTTTCTTTTAATTAGTCCTGCATGTTTGTCACCTATAACTTGGAGAATGCAACTGTTAACTCACGCAAATATGTTGCATTTTTTGCTGCTTTGTATGATTGTTTTGCTGATTTCTGTGGTTGTTTCTCCTCTTAAATATATCATCACAACTATACTCATAAAACTCAACATTCTTGTTTAGACGAATATCCTGTGTAACTTGTTATTATTAGTTGCGATGGTACAGTTTGAGATGATTTCAAAAACAAAGTTGTTAATAAACTTACAGCTATAGCTATCTTCAGATATATAGATCACAACCATATATTAGTGATAGTTGCAACTTTCAAGAGGATACCTATCACAACAAAGGTATTGGACATGACAGAAAAAACAAGAAGTCAGAATACCACATCAACATAAAATGCTGTTTATAGAGAAGTATTAGGTGAGATCCGACCATATCACATGTTTGTACTTCATCAAAATTAATGTAACTAATTACATATCGTACCTTCCTAACTAAAATAAACGTTCTTCTGCGTAAGTTTCAATTAGTTTGATTTCAGCTACTATAGGATCCTTATTCATCATTTTGAGCTTATATTTTTTTTCCTTTAAATGTTTATATCTCATGCACATGTTTTACTAATATTTCAGTCGCATTGAAAACTTTGTACCAATTGAAGTGGAATACATGTGCAATGCATGTGTTTAGAAACTATTATATAATTCAAAGAGAAAAGAGTGTTTTAAACAAGGCCCACTCTTATAAACATAAGGTCTGCTCTAAAGGATAAAATGGTTACCAAATGCTTCACTGTCTGTGAATTCAACTCCCGATACAATCTGCTAGCCTTAACAGCCGCAGTAGCCACGTTTTTCATATCAGCTGCGCGTTCTCTCTGAGAGTTCAACGTAGCTCGCTCATTCTCAAATTTCGTCAACTTAATAAATGTTAGCCCCAGTTCTCCAATCGTCTCCCCCATATCTTGCTGAGCTTTCACGAGTGATTCGGCCTAATTTGGAATAAAATTATAAAAGATTAACTAATAGCAAACAGAACAATGTTCACAGAACTCAATGGGTAATATGCAAACCAATACAAGTTCCATCTCAGGAACTAAATTTGTAAACCATTGAGCTACCTTTTTTTTTTGACAATGGTAACAAAACCATATAGCTACTTGAGAATTCTGGTTAGACCAGTGTCATTATACTCCTAGAGGAAAATGTGACACTAATAAACACGGATTGAAAATAAAAGCACAAAAATATGTAGAATTAGAATGAGAAATAGTATAATTGGCGAATAGGGAAATGAAAAGAGTTTTAAGTTCTATGCGCTGATGGTGCAAAAAATATCTACACAATCAGGTCGCATAAAAGTTAAATGCAGGTAACCATAATAAATACTAGTAAGTAACCTGCTATAATAAGTTTAATTACAGTGTCAGCATATAACTTAAATCGAAATGAGATACCTGTTTTGATGCATTACTTAGTTGCAGCTCAAGATTTTGCAACTGCTCTTTCTTTTCCAGGAAATCCTTATCCTCCTCCTCCACAAGTGACTTCGACCCGCCCCAATCATTCGCAACAGACTGCTTCAACTCCTTGAACAACCTCAGCAAATCCCTGCCACCTTTAGCGGGTTGCACAACATCCTGCGGGCCAATGACATTCCCCCCTGAGTCCCCTCCGAACAACTGCTTGGGCAACTTCACTGCTCCATCCAAAACCCTAGATGCCACATCAGTGGTCGTAGGCAAAGGAAGCTTACCGTCCACCTGCAAAAACACTCTCAATTCATCACTCTTCTTGATCACCGGATGTGATGCAAGCTTCTGCAAGTACTTCTCCAGAGCCGATCTTCTCTGCTCCACGAACTCTTGCTTTTGCATCACTTGACTCTCCACTAAACTCTTATCTGGCCTCGGAGGAATGAAATACCCTCTGTAACCTTCGCTCAATCGATCCGATAACGTAACCACGTCTTTGAACCGTCTCCGAACGCTGAAATCGGATCCTCTGTAATCGGGTAAATTGGTTTTGGTAGTGATTAAGTAGGTAACGTAAGTATTACTGCCGGGAACAATTGACCCCGATTCCATTTCCTTGTGCGGATCTGAAACCGTGATATTCAAATACTCCAAGTTTAAAGAGGGAGGTATCTCCGGCATTGTCGAGTTACTCGAGTCGTCATTAGGGTTTTGGATGCCGTTAAGTTCTTCAACAATGCTGGCGTCGAGAGGGTTGGAAACGATGTCGGCGTAAGGAGAAGGTGGTTGAATAGAGGAAGTTTCAGGAGGAGCTAACAAGGGATCGGAATCGGCAGGTGTAGCGACGACTGACGGGGAAAGAGGATGGTGGGAATCGGAAAGGGAAGTCATGGCACTTCGGTAATTAGAGTAGGATTTGGAGGTCGATTTGCTATCGTCCTCATCGTCGTCAAGAGATAGACTCTCCATTGCTTCTTTACGAGCTTCTTCGCCCATCATCTGAATCAACTTTTTAACAATTAGAAATTGAAGCTAAGTGCTGGTACTAAGAAAATAAAGGTCATGCGAAACTCGACGCTAAGGTGGAAGATTTGAAAGAAGATTGGACACATGGTAGTTGTCCGAGACGTGCATTAATTAATGTTAATTACTTAGGGTCGTTTCATAGTTTGGAGTTATCCATGTGTTAAAATTAGGATTACAAAATGGGAATCTAGCACAAGTTATACAATAGTTGGTTGATTTTTTCTTTTTTCCACGTAAAACATAGTATTATTAATACAATATTTGGTTCATATTTTTCTTTTCCGTATTACTAATATATGTATAAGTTATAAGGAAATCTATATATTATTTATGTAAGGTAGAAGGTGGAATAATTTATACATGTATTAGTAATACTTGTTATTAAAACACAAAATAACAAGAATACTCTCTATTCAAACTCGTATTTTTTTTGTTTAAAAATATATCTAAAATATGCTTTTAATAGAATAAACTAGACTATAATAAATAAAACTCACAATACATTTCTATATTACTAATCCTTATATAACTAATTTTCGCATAACAAAATCCTGCATAACTAATCCCTACATAACTAATCCCTGCATAACTAATCACAATGTAACGAAACCCTACATAACTAATTCATACATTAATATTACCTATTACTTGCATAACTCTAACAATCAACCTAAAGACCCTTAAGTTACTATGTATTAATTATGATGTTGTACGCCTGGTATGGTGAACCCAGGGTCAAAACGCTCTAACTGCCTGCTTTGCTCAGAATTATGGTTAACCCCGATTCTGTTTATTCGTTTGTTGTTGTCAATATTTGGGCTTTTCCCTTTTTTAGCAAGACATTGGCGTTACGCAAATGCTATCTTCCTCATATATCCCAACTAGGTAAAGATAATAAACAAATTAACACTTGTTCGTTTGCAAGAACAATCTATAACCTCTTGAATCACTGTCATCACTTGAAAGGCTATTATTTTCACCTTAAACGGTCTTACAAGCTCTATAGTAGATACGGCTCCAAACATTCAAGGCCCATGCAGCCATCAAATAATATTAGTTTCTCATCTTGCTTTACAACTCATCATTTTATTCTCTATAATTAGTTATTTTTTGGATTAAATCTGCTACTTTCAGCCCTCAATTATAAATTTAATTGCTTTGTCTTAAAAATCAAATTTTTGATTAAATAGTTTGGCACCCACCGTAGGCTACAACAATTTCACTATTCATCCAAAAATACTAACTTTTCTTTTTTTATTTCTGCTCAATTTAAACTATCAATATAGCCGGAGATCATCCGATCAACCAAGATGAAAATATCAATGTTGAAGATAGTTCAACTACGTGAAACGACAATGATGGAGCACAATTTTCGAGAATTAATGGATTACCAGATCCTTGACTCTCTTCGAGGAACTCTAGACCACGTAGCAATACCTCAACGTGTTCCAAAGAAAATTTTTAGAACTGCACAATTAGCGAAATTCATAAATACACAAAGAATATGGAGTCAACAAATTAATGAGGCCATAATGAGCTTAATAGAATGACCCGGAATGGGAGGTTCAGGTATGCCCATTAATTTGGACTTGGAAAACCTAGTCCTAACCTTGCAAAAATATATTAAAGAGCAAGGTGAACGCATGGAATAAATTTTTAGAATTTCACCCATAGTCCAAGGAATTGATATGGATAAATAATCACAACATCCTTGGAAAGCAAGCACAACATCGTCGCCAATTCCAAAGAAATTCAAGATACTAGACATTCTGAAGTATGACAGGATGTTAGGCCTCCAGGATCACTTTATAGTCTATACAACCAGAATCAAAGGAAAACTTGATAAAATCAAAGATAAAATCAATGATCGTAAAAAATCTTGGAGAACCCATCATTAAAGAAGAACTAACTTATTATTTCTTTACTTCCCAAAAACACATTATCTCTTTTGCAGCACTTGTTGACGCCTTCACCAATGTGCACACCGGAGCATCAAAAGTTGAAAAATGAATGGAAGATATCTTCAAAATACAGCAAGGAGACACTAAGTTACTCTTGGAATTTATTGATCGATTCCAAAGAGAGAGAGGATGTTATTACCTCAACTTCCTTACAATTGGGCAGCGATTGCCTTCGCTAAGAATCTCAATGAAAGAAACTCTAAATATACCTAAATATTGAAGGAAAATATAATGACCCGACCGGTTATTTTAAGTTTTAGCATTTCGTTTTGTGATTGAGACTTAGAGTGACTTCATATGGTGTAGTATGACTTGCATGTATGGTTGGCTTCAATTTTCAAGCAGCTCGGAATGTATTTGATAGAGTGATTCTCAATTTGAAAGCTTTAAGTTGGAAGAGTTGATCAAGGTTTAACGTTTAAGTAAACAACGTTGGATTGGTGATGTGATGATTCCAATAGGTTCATATAGTAATTTTGGACTTAGGCGTATGTTCAAATTTGAATTTGGATGTTCCTAGAAGTGTTTGGCTCTATTTGTCGAAAGTTGGCAATTTAACAAATTGGAGAGCTCATAGGTCTGACTGGGAGTTAACTTTGATGTTATTGGACTCCTATTGTGTCTTTGGGACCATGGATAGGTTCATTTAGGTTATTGGACCTTGTGTGCAAAGTTTGGTTGTGATCCAGAATGTCTAAGTGTGATTCGGACGCGTTCGGCGAAGTTTGAAGGTTTTAAAGTTAGGAGAATGATCATGACCTTTGGTTCTTGGTTTTGATGTTGTTTATGGTATTTAGAGCCTTTGGATAAGTTTTCATAAGGTATTGGACTTGTTGGTATGATTGGACGGGGTCTCGGGGGCCTTGGGTATGATTCAGGGTGGTCTCAGATCATTTCAGATAATGTTTGCATTGCTGGTTTTATCGTGCTGGGCAATGCTGCGGAGCTAACACTTGCAATCGCGGAGAAGAGAAGTTGGCGGGTGGAGTATTGAACTTTTCAATCGCGTAGGTAGCTATAGAATCGCAAAGGAGGATCTTGGTTAGGCTGGTCGTGTTTTATGGTCGCGGACAAGTAGTTTCAATCGCGTAGGCATTTTCACGTGAGGAGCGATGCATTCGCCAAGGTGTTGGAGGTGTTGTCTTCCGCGATTGCATGTGCAGTTTTGCAATTGTGATGGTGTATTTGGAGGCAGACTTATTTTTATGCTTTGCGGTCGCGAAGAAATAAGTCACTGGGCAGTCTATTTAAGTGGAATTTTGGGACTTTGCTCATTCTCTCATATGTTTGAACTTTGGACAGAGAAGGGCAATTTTGTAAGGAGATTTTCATACAAAATTTTGGGATAAGTGACTTTACTCATTTTTTATATTATTTCAATAATTTACATGAATTATTAACATCGAAAACATGGAATTTTGAGATGTATTTAGGGTTTTGACTACACCTTAAGAGAATGTATTTTGAGGATTTGAGTATCGATTTGGACTCGATTTTGGAATCTAATTATATATTTGGACTCGGTAGATTATGGGTCATTGGATTTTGGTATTGGTTCCAGATTTTCAGGAATGCGGGCCCGGATTGACTGTTGTTGACTTTTTGGAAATTCAACAAAGATTGAAGCTTTATGGATCGGGATCGTTTCCTATGGCATTGGTTGACTTCCTTGGTGGACGTTGGCTAGATTTCAGCTTGTTAGAGGTGATTTCTCAACAAAAAAAAATTCGAGAGGTAAGTGTCTTGCCTAGCTTTGTTAAGAAAATTTTTCCTAATAAATAATATTATTTGTTACATGTGGGGGTGATACATATGCAAGGTGATGAGCGTATATGTATGTGCCAGGGTTATCCATGCTCGGGGTAGATTATATGTTTCTTTGTTCCGTGTAAAACTTTGTGATCTTCTTTACTTTCTTTATTTGCTTATATGAGTAAATGAGTTTAATTATCCATGGTAGGAATCATGTTAAAACATATACATATTAAAGGAATTTAATAGGCTACTCTTGAAGTAGTGATATACTTGATTTGATCGTAGTTGTGCTTTGTATTACAAACATATGTCTATACCTGCCATATTGGTGCTACTTGAGCTTTTCTTATTCATTTTGAGATCATGTTTAGACTATGATGCGATCTTTGGATAAGGCAGCTCTTGAATGGTTAGCTTGCCAAGTTGTAAGATGGTTATGCTTATCTCTCACATTATGCTTACTCATACCTCTTGATCGTATTTATGCATCCTACCTTGCTTGTTACTGATATATATATATATATATATATATATATATATATATATATATANTCTCGCCTTTTCTGTTGCAAAGCCACAACGGCATTATCTCGAGGCTGGTCACGCTCGGCCTCAATATTCATTGAACACTGTGATCTCGAAGTCTGCCATTGGGCTCGGACCCAGTCTATTTCGGACTCGCTCTTAAGGTGATCCTCGAGCTTACGAAATCGGGTAGCCCCGATTTCTACCGTATACAAAAGGTTTCATGAGCAATTTAGCATTAGTGTAATAATATTGTTATATATTGAAGGATTTAATTTATATTAGTGTAACAATACCGTACCATTAATATATAGAAGGATTTAAGTTACCTATGTATGATGGTAAAAGCTTATTCGCACCCAATATTTATACCAAACTTTATCATGCATGATTAAGTAGTAATAATAATTAAGGTGAAAATGCGCTAGCAAATAAGATGAAAATGCATATTGAGTCAAGTTAATTCCAAGAAAAGGGTGTTTCAAGAAGCGTATGGATGATGTTAAACTCTGAAATTTACAGCTACTTTTTTCTAGTTTACGTTGGGGTAAATTAACTAGCTTTTCCATTTCTTGTAAAAGAAATTGTTAATTCAGAAATTTCCTCTATTTAACGCATTAGTTGAATATAGTTAAAGTAAAAACTTGTAAATGATCAAAAAGAGGGAAGTACGTAAATTGCCCATTGATTTCTTTTCTTCTGTTGAACTTAAACAGCCCACTTCAAAAAATATGTTAGATTTAGGGTTCTAGACCAAACTGGAAACTACTATCCAAGAGAAAAAACAGGAAACTATATTTTCTGTTAATTTTCACAACTGTTAATTAGTTCAATTGTGAAAAAAATTACGCATTGTATATAAAGATTAGGGAA